GAAAATATAAAATAATAATATTAATATTAAATACTTAAAATAAATAAAATTAATAATAATAATATTTTTTTATATTTCTTAAAATTAAGTTTTTATATTATTTTAATATATTTTTTTAATATATATTATATTAAATAATTTAAAATTTTTAATATTTTATATTAATATTTAATATTAAATTATATATTATTAAAAAGTATTTTATAAAAAAAAATATAAATTATAAATATAATATATAATTAAGTAAATAATATATATATAATATTATATAATAATTAAATAGAAATTATTAATTTTTTATTATATATATAAATCTTTTAAAAGAAAAATTTATTTTTTATAATAAATCTTTAATTAATTAAAAAGAAAAGTTTTTATAATTAAAATTAAATTAATAATTATATATTTAAATAATATATATATTTATTAAATATATATTATTATATTATATAAAGTTATTTTTAATATATATAAAATAAATAATAATATTTTAATTAATAATAATAAAATTATTAAAATTAATTTTATAAATAATATTTCTTATATATTATTAATTATTATATTAAAAAAACTTTTTAATTTAAAATAAATTTTATTTCTTTTATATAAAAATAATTAAATTTAAATTATATAGTTAAAAATAATTTAAATAAAAAATATAAAAACTTAAGAAATTAAATAAAACTAAAATAATATTTATTTATTAAATAATAAATAAATATATATTATAAAATTAAAAAAATAAAAATTAATAATATTTATAAATATAAAATAAAATAAATTATTTAAAGATTTAATTAATATATAAATATTAAATATTTAAAAACTTTTTTTTATTTATAAACTTAAAAGTTATAAATTTATAGTTATATTTATTATAAAAAAATTATAAATTTAATAATATATTAATTATATTAAGTTTATTATTATTAATATTATTATATAATAATTAAAAAAACTTTTAGTTATTAATTATAATTTTTATTTATTTAAAATAATAAATCTCTTAATTTTATATTATTTAATAATATATATAACTTTTAGTTATATAATTATTAATAACTTTTTAAATTTCTAATTATTTCTCTTAATTTTAATTATTTATATATATATATATATATAAATCTATTATTTTTAATTTTATTTTTATAATAATATAATTTATAATTATATAAATATTTAATTATTAATTATTAAATTATTAATTTATTTTTTATATATTATTTATATTATTAATATTATTATTATTATTATATTATTAAATAATTATTATATTATTAAATTATTATTATTATTAATAAATAATATCTTATATATTAGCTATTTAATATATTATTAACTTAAATAATTTAAATATTTTTTTATTTAATTAAATTTATTAATACTTTTAATATATATTATTTTATTTATAAATTAAATAATATAGTAAATTAATAAATTTAATAATAATTATATTATAATTAATAATAATCTTTTTATTTAATATAAAATATATTTATTAATTTTTATTAAATTTATATTTAAATTTAAATTATATTTATATTAATATTATTAAATATCTATTTAAAAAAAAGTTATTTTTTAAAATAATTAAAAATATATATAATATTTATATTAAAATTATTAAGTTTTATTATTTTTATAATAGTTTAATAAATAAAGTTTTTTAAAATAATATTATTAAGATTTTTATTTAATATAACTTTAATAAAATATTTTTAATTAAAAATAAAATATATATTAAATTTAAGAATTTTATTTAATATATAAATATTATTTTATATAGTAATATTTTATATTATATTTTTAAAATAAAATATATTTTATATAAATTATTTTAAATTTTATTATAAATTATAAAAAGAAATATATAAAGTTTTATATATATTTATATAATATAATAATATATATTTAGTAAACTTATATATTATTTAAATATATAAATATTAATTTAATTTTAACTATAAGAACTCCTTTTTTTTCTCTTTTAATTAGTTAAAAACTTATTATATATATAAATCTTTCTCTTAAAAAACCTATATATATAATAAAATACTAATAACTTTTAGTTAATAAAATTATAATATTAAGAATATATTATCTATTTTATTATATATTATATTTATAGTTTAAGTTTTCTTTTTATAAATAATTTCTTAATAATATATAGCTTAATATTAAATATTAATATAAAGTATTAAAACTTTAAACTTTTTAATATAAAGTTAATAAAAAAAGTATATTTTTAATTTATTTAATAAAATTTTATATATAATATAACTTTTTATATTTTTAGCTATAAAAACCTTTTATAGTAATTTTTTTAATTAAAAAGTTATTTTTATTTAATAATATTTATAATATTTTATTAAAAGGTTTAGTAAAATTATTATTAAATTATAAATATTTTAATAACTTTTTTTAGTTTTATTATAATTAATTTTATTATATATAATATTATTAACTTTATATTATATAATTAATATTATTATTATTTTATTAATTTATTTAACTAAAATATATATTTAATTTTATATATTTATTTATTTATTAATAAAAATATATAAAGTTTTTATATTATTATTTTTAATTAATATAAAATATAAATTAAATTACTTATATAATATTTCTAAAATTATATTTATATATAAAATAAATTTTATTATAGTTTATTTATAAAAAAACTATATTATAACTATAAATTTAATATAATAATTAAATATTATATATAATAATATAATATTATTTATTATTATAATATATTAAATTAAATTTATAATTATAAATATTTAACTTTTAAATATAAACTATTAATTATTAACTATAAAATATTAAATATTAATTATAAAATATTATATATAAGTTAATATATAAACTCTTATATAAGATTAATTATAGCTTAATCTTCTTTACTTAGTTACTTATTTTTACTTATTACTTATTTAATAAGAGTATTTTATATTAAGCTAATTATATAATACTATATAGACTTATAAAACTAAACCTAATCTTAGCTTCTTTTATACTTAAACTATACTTAAACCTCTCCTTTTCTTTATTTATACTATACTTAATCCCTACCCCTTCTATATTTAGTTTTAAATTAATCTTACTCCTTCTAAGATTAATTTTCACTTTTAAATATATTTTTATCCTCTTATATTCTTTCTTTATATTACTTTTAATTAAACTTAGATTAATCCTCCTCTTTATATTAACCTCTATAATATTAAGCTTCTAAACTACTATTAGTATTAGTTATACCTTTTTAACTCTTATAACTAAATTAATTATAGATTATCCTATATTTATAGAGTACTCCTCTTTTACTTAATACCTTAATAATATCCCTTAGTTTAATAAGATAGTAAGTTTATTCTTAATTTAATTATAGATTAATCCTTACTTATACTCTTAAGCTAATAGATAATAAGTAATCCCCCCTTATAACTACTTCTATTATACTTATATAATCTTAAGTAAAAGTATAATTATTAATTATTCCTATATAGTATATTTTTAGATTAATCTAAATATAAACTTACTAACTATTTCTTAAGCCTCTTAGTTTAGCTACTTTAACCTCTACTACTATATTAGTAATTAGTATAGCTTAATTCTATCCTCCTAAAGGGATATTATATTAAGCTATAGAATTAATATTAAGGGCTAATTTACTCTTAGTTTACTCTTAGATTATTCTTAATATAATTATAAAATACTTTAATAAGCTTTTTATTACTATAAAGAAGTTATATAATAACTTTATAACTCCTTATAGTTCCCTTAGCTTTATTATTCTTTATTTTATTAAATAGATTAATATAATATATAAAGCTACTATAAACTTAGATTAATCTTAGATTAAGCTAGCTACTTTTCTTAAAAAGTAAGATTAATCTAACTAGAAACTATCTCTTATTATTACTACTTCTAAGAAGTTTAGCTAGAAGACTTAGAGTAAAGCTACTATTAATTCTAAGATTAATCTAAGTTTAAAAAGTAAGAGTAAGAAAAGTAAAACTATTAAGTTATTTAAAATTATTATTCTTAGTTTTAAGTTTAATAATAAGGTCTTTAAATCTTAGAATAATCTTAAAAAGCTTAAAACTACGCTTTAGAAGTATTTTACTCTTAATAATAAATCTAAGATTACTTTTAAATTAAAAGTTAAAATTACTTTAAACTATACTTCTATTTTTTAAAAGTTTATTAAGTTTATAACTTAACCTAAGTATCTTAAAGAGAAACTAAACTATATTATACTCTTAAATTATTTTAAGCTTATTCTTTAAACTAAAGCTTATAATAAGTAACTATTTAAAATATATTTATTTATAGATTAATCTTAAATAAATTCTTATATATTCTAGATTTCTATTATAAAGATATATATTAAGTTTAAAATTTTAACTAAACTAACTTATTATAATAATTATATTAATAATAAAGATAAGTTTAATTATAAATTAATCTTAAAGTATTATAGCTAATATAAATAAATAGTCTACCTAAGTAAGATTTAATCTCTTTATTATAATATCTAGAAAATATTTAAAATATTACTATTTAAAGCTAATAATAACGCTAAAAAAAAAGAATTTAAGATTAATCTAAAAAATAATAATAATACTAATATTATTAGTAGTAAAACTTAAATAGTATAAAAAAAAGCTTAAGTAGCTAAAGAGAAGGGAATTTAGTTAGATAGTAAGATTTAACTAAGAGTAATCTTAAAAAATAGAGGATTAGTTATATAGTTTAGATATTAAGATATTCCTAGATTAAACCTAGGAAATAGAGGTTATTTCTTAATAGAGAGTATAATTTAGAATTAGATTAGTATTATCTATATATAGAAGAAACTTAGATTAATTATAGATAACTTAAGTTAGTTTTTAATATATAATAAAGTATATAGGAAGTAGTCTATAATTTATTATTAAGCTAATATACCCCTCTTTCTACGATTAATCTTATAGCTACTAGAAGTAGTAGGCCTACGCACTTTCTGTTAGGTTAGTAGGGAGGGGGGTACCTAAGGTTGACTGTATACCGCCTTCCTAGGAAGGGGCCTCCTGAAGAACAAGCTCCTGCCCCAGCTTAATTACAACCGTTTAACTTCAACTCTCGTTTTGCACCATCTCACATCTCTTCCTAATGTCGGTTTGATTTGGGTTCGTTACATTCTTCACTGAATTCCTTAATTTTTCATGATCTCTTCTGGATAAATTTCACATCCCAGGTGTTTCATCAAACTTCATCAACCATATCTCCAGTAGGAGCTGCCTCCAGCGCCGGCACCCCCGAGCAGCGCCGCGCACCAAATGCCGCCGCCATTCCTCGCCAGTCACCACCCGTCATTCTCGAGCTCGTAACCTCTTTTTTCTTTCTACTCGAGCTCTAGGCATTCGGGGCATCTCATGAGATCTAATCATGTTCGCCTCTCGGGCCCTTCGGTTTGCCGCCCTGCACAGAGTTAGCACGGGATCAATCGTTGCCAAGGACTGGGAACTAACAGTCGAGCGTAGATCTCGCTCGCCTCCATATCTTCGACACCCGAGTCACCGCCTGGACCTTGATCTGAATCTACAGATATTGGTCTATCCCATCGGTCTGCAAAAGGATCCCATTGTTCTTCCGGTGGATTGGCAATCGCTTCCTCCCCGGAGAGTGCGGGAACTAACGCCGGACTGTTTGGAACCAGGTCAACTGGAGCAGGCTCGATGATGGCTGGTTCGACTGCGGCCGGTTCCACTACGGCTGGTTCGACTATGGGTGGCTCGACTATAGCTGGCTCAGCTGGGTCTCTTTCGACTGGATGTGGTTCATTCCCTGTTGCAGGAACAGTTTGCAGAGGCTCTGAGGAGTCCCCTTCGATGTCCGATGGACCCAGGCGATCTACCAAACCCTTTTGCGAGATTGGTATGGCTACTTCAGTTGGGTCTTCGACTGGCTGTCCCTCATCAGAGACTGTTGATGCAAGATACCGTTCCAGGGCATGCGGCATGCCTGGTGATTTTGGCCTGGGGATGCCGCATATTGGCGAATGACTTCTTTTTCGTGCTCTATGGACCCCGGGAAGCGTCTTCAATCCTATGAGAACAGACCCTTCGCAATCGGAAACGTCCTCAGCGTCGTCATCTACACGCAAGGATAAGGCTCTTTTCTCATGGGCCTCTGGTCGTGTCAAATACGAGCTCATTGGCCCAGCGCACGTTGGCGATGTTGGTATATCACTGCTAGGGTCGGCCAGAGGTGTTCTTGGCATCGCTGCGTCCTCTTGTTCGGTATCGCCCACCTGCTTCTGCAGTCCCGCAATGTCGTCAGTTATCGACCTAATGCTACGAGGAGACTCAGGCGATGGTGCCCCTGACCGACGGAATGGAGACGATTTGACTTCGATTTCGGGGCTGAATCATGATCAGCACACGTCGGTAGAGTCATCTGGCAGTTCCAGGCCTACCGTGGAGAGGCCACGACTTCCTCTTTAGTCTCAAGGCTGATGCTTGACCGTCCTGGGGAGCGGCTCCCACATTGGCGGCAGTCCGACCCATCTTCTTCAAATAATACTCCGATACCCCAGTGGTCGACGTCTGGGTTGGGCAGAATGTCTGGAACTGCCGTTGCCATTGAAGCCACGAATAACTGCGCCCGACCGAGCCTCAGGAATGACAATGTTGAAGAAACAATCACCGCACGAAGGTAGTTGCGAAGAAGACTCGGGCAAGGACACGAGGCTCGAGGTCGAAAGGAAAAGAAACAATCGCACAAAGACCGCAGTGGCACAATCTTGTGGAACGAGGGAGGATCTTGTGCATTCTTCTGGCTTTTCACAACAGCCCGTCGCCCGCGACCCAGGAAGGCGACCACGCTTGGGAAATCCAAACCACACCTCTGGGATCCCGCTTCCCGGCGTCAGGGAGGCGCATGCAAGAAACGACACCAGCGAAGAAAAAGCAACATTGTCTCCTTTATCTGCCATCCGGTGTGAGCCTCCTGCATCCCTCGGCAAGACAGCAATGATACGACGGGGGTGGGTCCCTGGGGATCCAACAGCCCGGAACCAATTGTTGGGCGGTAGGATGCAGCTACGGTTCCATGCGGCTTGCATCGCGGAACAGCGGCTACAGGACTAGACCTGGCACCCCGGCTGTATCTTTGCTGCCTCTTTGCTTTTCTCGTCATAGCGAGCCTTTCTGTCCATTTTTAGGCCGGTTGCCTTGCCCGTGAGGGTGCCATTTGGCTGGAAATCGCTCCCAGTGCCACGGCTACCTGCCGCTGGACCCCAGCAAACATTCGAGAAACCTGCTCGCTTGCGTCTTCTTGCTCGCGAAGATGTAACTTTGGGAAGAATAACCAGACATTTCGAGGGCAACTTGACAGAGTGATGCGGAGACGGGGCTCGAGTGTCACCTCGCAGGCAATCATTTCCCTTTCCTGGACCACCATGCATCTATCACAACGCATGCTGCCGACAATTTATTGGGGCCCTAATTTCCGGCTGCATGTTTCTGGGCTCGAGGTGACAGCCAACTCATCCAAGACACCTTTCGGGATTTGAACCTGTTCGTTCCCTCGTTCCCGACCGCTGCATCTGGGTATAACAGTCTGCGCCCGGGATTTGTGCAGCGATTCGGTTGGTAACCCTTACGCCTATGGAGCCGGGATCATGATCCCAGATTCCTCCCGTCGTGCCCGCTCCTCCGAACCATCCAGCTGGGTCATTAATCCTGACGTTGGCAGATATTCCCGTCCCTACAACCATACCTTCGGGTCTTCACCGCTGATAGACTGGTTGCCTTACCAGAGCCAAGGAACTTTAACCTCCACTGTGAAGGAACTCTCTGACGACCGGCCTCACTCTCAATTGCTTCGCGCTACCGTCCTCCCCCTGCTCTCCTTTTTGAAACGCATCCAATATCCGGTTCCTATGATAACCCCCAGTGGACTGCCTTGGCATCAGCAAAATCATACGGTATCGGGATGCGGTTGACTCACAGAAGCAGCATGCGGAATACACCGCCTGCCTTCACCATCCGTAATCCGCTCCAACAGGTATCAACAGACATGAGGTACTCATCGCAGGAGCCCTTATCCACGTTGGTTCTGGTTACTGCAACGACATATGCCCCGCTTCCAAATCCTTCCAGGCAGATGAGGAGAACGAAAAATTCCCAAATATGAGGAACGCATATTGACAGACACGGCACGACTGTAACGAGTGCGAAGACATACGACAGGGTTATGATCATGGCTATCTGACTGCCCTTTTTGTCAGCATATGCCCCTCCAGCCATTACGACAGACGGGCTTCGATCACTCACGCGGCAGCCTTTGCGTTGGGGCTCAGGTCAACTGACTCCAACCTGTTCGCGCCCTCGCCGCAAAGAACGGCTGACCCAATCCCGAACCCTAGCAGGCCCAAAAGACCGGTGAACAACATGTTATCGCCTATTCTTTGGTGGTGTGGCATTCGCCCCCGCTCCTCTCGGACGGCTGAACATGTCTCTGCCTCGAACGTAAAGAGATCGCTCCCTTGCACCATGCGCCATGACGATGACGGCACTACTGCCCGCCGAGCATCCCGTAGGGAGGAGGATATTGTGTCCAGAGAAGCTTCGAGCTGTTCCGCCCATTGAGACGGGGAATCGAGGGCATTGGGAGCGCCTGCACAATCATCTTGGACGCTCCATTTCTCCCGCGGGGCATCGGCATACCCTTTTCCACCGTCCAGGTCCGAATCCCAGTCATCGTCCATCACACCGACCCTTGAAGTGATGTCCCTCTCACTCATATGTACCCGTCGGTGCCTGTCCGTGAAGGGGCCGTGAAAAGAATACACGGCGGTCGGCGAATTCCTTGGAGAGTGTCCACGCCACTCCCTAGCGATGCATATTCTGTGCCAACAGAGGTTTAATATCCCAATAAACGCTCAACTGTTCCAAAGTTCACGGAGAACTTTCAAGTTTTATGGCTCTCATACTTGTCTTAAAGCTTACAGCAGGCTATTCATCATTTTCGTCAGCCGACTGTGAAGGTCAGGCGCTGCTTCCCCTCAGGTGCCAGGCGCCAAGCGTGATTCCGCCTTGCCGATCAACAAATGCACTAATTCGTCTTGTCTTGTGCTCACCGAGCCGCGTAGCCGTCATTAGCCGGGGCGTATGGCATCGCCTACCGCGCTCACGTTCTGTGACCTTTGCGTTGAATGGCTCCCGCGCTGAAGATTCAATTACCCGTAAGCTAGGACCGGGACGCCCGTGTTCCACTGACTGGTGTTTGAAGAGGACACGGCATCGCTCAGCCTGGCCGCTTTATTCCATACGTAAACTACTAGCATGCCCTGCTCCGTGGGCAGCTCCAAATGGCACCCGAGCCTCATTTCCTGAGGATTTCCACCGGGAACTTATTGGCCAGCTCTTGGTACCCAGGTACATTAGGATGCAAATGATCGCCTCCATCAAACTGCGCCTTCAGATGGTCACCGTCCCCGATGAACGAAGCAAAGTCCACGACATGGTCAAACGTCCCGTTCTCGAGAATCCACTCGTTGACCCTCTGCCGCGTCTGCTCCCGCGCCGGGTTCGAGTACGACTGCCCGCTACCCGCAAACGGCGTGATCGTCGCACCGATGGTCACCAGGCCCGCCTTCTTACAGTCGGCGACAATCTGCTTGTACGCGCTGATCAGGCTGTCGCCGAGCCGCTGCTGGGTCGCGGAGTCCGTCGCGCTGGGCCCGATGTCGTTTACGCCTTCGAAGATGAAGACGTACCTCACCCCTTGCTGGGAGAGGGCGTCGCGGTTGTAGCGTGTGAGGAGCGGATGCCCCAGACCGCCTTGGAGCACCGCGTTGCCGCCTGCTGCTTGGTTTGCGACGGCGATGTTCGCTAGGCCTTCCTTTTGCAAGCGCGCCAGGACGAGATCGGGCCATCTGGGCTGCAGTCAGTCGTACATTCATGTTCAAAGGGATGTAAGTTACCGATTGTTCCTGTCGTCGTCGCTGCCTCGTCCATCAGAGATGCTATCTCCGAGAATAATCATGGCCGACGTGTTCTTCGGCGCCCACGCCTCCACCGCGCTGGCGAAGTACCAGTGCTTCGTACTCGCGCCCGTCACAGACGATGCATTCACCTGGTTCCCGCTCTGCATCCACGACGTCGTGCGGCTGCCCGGATGTCCCGTGATCTTGCTCCCGGGCTGGCCCTGCTGGGTGTACAAGCTCAATGCGATGTTAGTCTGCGCCGCAACAGTGAAGTCGATGGGGTCTGAGTAGACCACCGCTCCTTGCTTGATCGTCACCGCGGGCGAGCCGGAGAAGGTCAGACCTTTAAGCGTCTTGGTGTCGATGCCGGGAACCCCCGCAGCGCCATCTAGAGGTAAGGCGAGTGATGCTGCTGTGACGGGGAGGTCTGAGCCACCAAATGTGTTGGACAGCTGGACACGCAGGCGCGATGCGCCAATGGATGTGTGAAAGGTCTGGCGGAGGGTTGCATCGCGGAACTGTGCGCTTCCTCCGTTCTGGTCTAGTCAGTACATCCATAGCGCTCGCAGAGCAATGATTTGCTTCTTACAAATGGCGAAGGCGGCAGGTTGCCTGGCTCAACCTCCTGCGGCATGGACGTCCACGTCACGACCCAGTGATTATCATCCTGCCGTTCTCGCAAACCCTCGCCCGTCGGGATGGCGAGAGCAGACGCCGCCCACACGGTGGCCAGCAAGATAGACCTCATGATTGCATACGTGCACGCAACTGAGTCTCTCGTCTCAACTCCCGCAAAGCCAAGAGCGGGAGCATCGTGGCCTTTTTATGATGAAACGGAACAAAGTCGTCCGAACGGCTTGTCCGCTTGGGCCGTACCCTTTCACCCGCGCTGCGGTTTTAGCCAAATGGAAACCCCTGATCCCATATTACCTAGATAGCCTGCTGAGCCGCGAGCGGGATTAATCGTGTTTGAGGTAGAGATGTCCAATAGGAGTGCGCGAATACGAGATACCCGGCATCTCGGGATATTGGGTCCGGCGGGGAAGTGTGCCAGGAGGGGTGGGATCCCCGGCTTTTTGGACGACAAGGTTCGGCTTAGAGGGTCATGGTCTGGAGAAGCTTGAATATCCATGCGCTGGTCCCTTCATTTCATCTGATCTACATTTATCTTTCGTTCTCAGCTGAGGATTGCAGACACAAATAAAGGGAGACCTATTTGGAAGTACGAGAAAACCGAGAAGCGTTTCAATCAATGCAGTACTATTCAAAGTATGATTTCTAGTAATACCAAAAGACATGCGTTTGCAGCCGTACTTGTAGTTGTGAAAGCCCTACTGCTCGGTACTCAAACAGCATGGCAGTGGAAGAGGACGTGAGAAAAAAGCTAGTCCTTCTCCCGAACAGGAAATGAACAACGACCAGACCACCCGCGAGGTCATGTCAGAGTTTAGCAGGCGAACTCGCACTGGAACTGCCTCGACTATACCCAAACGTTAGCACACCTCCCATGTCATTTCGGCCCTTCAGAGTCCACGACTTACATCAGTTCGGCAGTGGCTGCCCCCCTTGTTCCAGTCATCAGCCGTCACACCTCTGCACTTGGCGAACCCCGACGTCGAGTCCGTCGTCCAGGTCAAGAGGCCATATTTGAACTCAACGTCGTCCTTGTCATGGCGACCGGTGATTTTCAGGATGTACTCCATGCCTGCCTCCTTCAGCTCGAGGGGCTTTGAGGGGTTGATCGATAGGCCTGGAGCCGATAGCTGAGGCGTCTCGTGCCAGAGGACTTGGTTGGGACCTTCGAGTCTGAAGCGCGTGTAGAGATTTCGGTCTTGCGGTTCGCAGGTTCTAATCTCCGTGATGTCGAGCTTGCAGGTATCTGTTTGGGGTGATATATAGTTAGGACATAGCCAGAAGCAGCAGAGACGCCTCTTGGGATACATGTAGTGCCGGATTTATCTTGATGATAGAGTTTGAGAAAAGAAACAAATCAACTGACTGTACGGAACGCGTCTGGCGATGTCTTCCAAGCCGGATGACAACGGGGTCGGGGAAGCGGAAACAGTAGCGCTAAGGGTTAGAACCAGGGTGGCCAGCGAGAGATACATTGCAAAGGACAGAGATGGGCGATGGATAGAACACAATCAGGAATCGAGTCATTGAGCTGACAGTGCCTTTTAAGTATACTCGGCGGATGGAGTTCACTGTATCGAACAGACTTTGAATAGGTTCATGTCACAACCTGAAAGAGCTACGACATCCCTTTCGTGTGACTTGCCTGTTTGTTGGGCTAACAAAGGTTTGAGTTGGTGCCTTGGACAGCCCCCTTGTAACAGGCATTACATTTGCTTGGATAGTGAGCTGTGGAACAGTGCAAACTTCCCAGTACAAAACCTCTCCTATTAGGACTGATACTGCTGGCTATTCAGATGGATAGTCATGGTATGATGAAGGTAGTAATGCGTGGGGAGACGGCGGGGATGAAGACGACTAAGAAGAACAATGTGTGAGTTACCAGAATAGCTACGAATTACCCTCCATTCCCGGTAAAACAAACTCCTTGCTGCCCCAAAGCACCCAATATGCAATGATGTAAAGCCCGATCAGAACCAAGATGACAGAAGTGTAGTTCATCTCCGCAGCGCTGACCGGCAGATAGTAAGGGAAACAGTACACGACAAGAGCGACTGCGGTCCAAGCCAGGGTAAAGAAGTTTGCAAGACAACCAAGCTTGGGAAACCAGAAGGGACCGTGGGCAAAGTTTGGCCGCCCATGACAAAGGAGCAAGACGAGGGGAACAGCATAGCTGAGGTATTGCAGTAAAATTCCGCACGAAATAAGGGAAGAAAATGCCGTTTTGGACGCAAGGTACACGAAGCTCAGCAGCGCCGTCCAGCATGCTGACCACAAGATAGCCCAGACCGGGGTGTTGAATGGCGACGGTACCACCCTGCGGAGGTAAGATTGAAAAGGAAACCCTCTGTTTCGTGCGAAAGCCCAGGCCAGCCTGGATTGCCAAGTCTGAACGCCAAACATGGCCCCTGTGGTAGAAACAAGAACAAGGGACTGGAGACCGAATGCGGCGTGTTTGTTCTGCCGAAAGATGTAATACACGACTGTCAGAAAATCTGTTTGGGTCTCCATGTCGGAGATGTTGATGTACAGTGCCAGGATTGTAAGCATGCCGGTAGTGAAGCCGACGACAATCGTCCACATCAGGGCCTTGGGGATATTTTTGCTTGGCTGAGGGATTTCCTCGGCAATGTGCACAACTGCGTCCAGACAGGAGAAGCTCCAGTTCAGGCCGTTGATACCAATGAGGAATGCAACGCCTTTAGGCCAGCCAGAAATGTTGTAGTAGTCTGTGAAGAATTGCTCTGAGGTCACTCGTTCCGTCGAACCTGCAAAAAGGCTGACCACGATAGCCAGGATCGAGAGGACCGTGAAGATGAGACACCCGCTTCCTAGCTGGGGAAGAATCCGCTCGAAACAGTTAACAGAGGCTGTCAGAATGTTGACGATGTGGTACCCTACAAATCCCATCCACGGCTTGTATTCGAAGTCAGTCCTGGTCATCGCTACCATGGCCAGCGTGACCTGAGGTACAGTAAGACAGACTGATGCCCCTGTGCAGACCGCGCCGGCCCAGCTTGTTATTGCGGTCGCATACGACAGGAACCTTCGTGGACCTACTGGAGACAGACGGGCCACCCAGACGTACTGCCCACCAGGATGTGAAATGGCGGAAGCAAGCTCCGCTAGACTGGTGGCTGTGCTCAATCCTATCAAGGCCATGAGAATGAAGCCGAAGAAGGACAACGGAGCGCCACCAAATGGGATAGTTGTGCCCACAGTGAGAAGTATTCCCATGGCCGTGTTGGTGATTGAATGGGCGATTCCGATAGCGGTCCATGTCGTGAAAGGCCTGTCCATGTGGCCGACCTCAGCAACTGGCAGGTCGATGGACTGCGACTCTCCGGCTACCTCATTGCCACTCTGACTTCGGGCTGCCTTCTCCATGTCTTTTAGGGTTGACGTATTGATGTCCTAAACGTCCTTGGGAACTTGTGTGATGAAGTTGTTGTGGGTCGGCTTGCCATACCAAAGTGATATCAAAAGTGCGGAAAAGAAGTCTGAGAATATTTGAGCCCGAGTAAACGAGAGATGGCTTAGCTTTGGCTTTAACATTGCCGCAGTATTATTGGTGTACTCCGCGCTTTCTAGAGACAAATTCAGCGACAATATCAAGCTACCATGATCACTTGTGATAACGTCTGCTATCAAATGCCATGGGTTGCCCACTGGGCTATCATATCATACGTAGTCCTATCCTGTGCCACACTTGCCCGATCCAGACTTTTTCCGAGGTGATAAGCGCGGACATATCATTGATAATAATGTTGCAAGTTCCGGGAATGCGAAACCGAGCTTGTGTGGGGTAGATAGAAACAGTCAGTTACGGCCGATGTTGTTCATCGAACACGCGCTTAACTCCATGCCCAAAATGGACGAAGACCGAGAAACCCGAGCTTTTCCGGCATACCGCTTTCCACTCATGCTTGCTAGATGCAGATCATGTTCAACGGGCGGATTTTGACATCTCGGGACGGAGGAAACATGATGAGGCCAGATGGTTTGGGTGGAAGAATACAGTGATGTAACCAAGCAAGACTTGGGTTCCTGTTGAACGCTTCTCTACAAACTGGAAACACGAGTATAAGTACGCAGCGCTGCAAAACCTATTTCATCGAGGCGGGGTCTAATTCATTATCAACATTCCGTATATTGCACGCTACTTCTGACTCCATCATAAACACTAAACCCACCGACAAAATGGTCATCACGAACACACTAGGCACAAATGAGGTCGACTTCGATTTTGTGGTTGTCGGTGGCGGTACGGCTGGCTGTGTGATCGCGTGCAGACTCGCAGAGGAGCTCCCCAATAAGCGAATCCTTGTTGTTGAAGCTGGTCCCAGCGACTGGCAGGACGAGAACATCCTGCAACTCAAGAATCTGCTCAACCTGCTAGGTGGCGAGTATGACTACAATTACACGTCGACGGAACAAGAGTTTGGTGAGAATGCCCCCTTGCTAACCTCAAAACGAGGAATTGATTTCTGACTTGCGCTCCACAGGCAATAGTCACATTGTTCACTCGCGCGCGAAGGTCCTGGGCGGTTGCTCGAGCCACAATGGCGGGATCGCAATGCACCCTTGGGAGTACGATTGCAAAAAATGGGCCGAAGCAGGCGTGGAAGGCTGGTCTTTCGAGACTTTCACGCGACTTGTCAAGAAACTGCGAAACACCATTAACCGGATCCCGGACGGTCAGCGTAACCCCCTTGTCAATGACTGGATCGAGTCCGCCTCAAAGGCCCTGGGCATTCCTGTGACTGAAGACTTCAACTCGGAAGTTGTGTCACCTGCCAGAATGACCGCCGGCGCTGTTGGATACCTGCCAGTCACTTACAACCCCGACAATGGCCATAGGTCCAGCGCGAGTGTGGCATACATCCATCCGATTATCAAAGGAGACGAGAAGCGACCTAACTTGAAGATCCTGACCAATGCATGAGTCAACAAGATCAATGTCGTGAAGGATACTGCTGCTGAAGTTGATGTTACACTGCAGTCAGGCCAGCGAATCACCATCTGCGCGAAGGGCGAGACGATCCTCTGCGCTGGCAGCATCGATACGCCCAGACTCATGCTCTTATCTGGCCTTGGGCCAAGGGAGGACCTAGAAACGGTGGGTATCCCCGTTGTGAGAGATATCCCTGGCGTTGGCGAGAACCTCATGGACCACCCGGAGACGATCATCGCCTGGGAGATGAATGAGGAGATCCCTCCGCAGACAGCGATGCATTCCGATGCCGCCGTTCTTGTCCGCCGCGAGCCGGCAAACGCTGAAGGGGACGACGGCACGTTGCCGGACATGATGATGCACATCTTTACCGTTCCTTTTGACACCAATCTGAAGCGGCTGGGGTACAATTCAGAGCAGCCGAAGACGCTGTTCAGCGTCGTCCCTAATATTCCGCGGTCTCGATCGCGAGGTAAGATTTACCTCAAGTCCGCGGATCCGAAGGAGAAGCCGGCTATTGACTTCCGATACTTCACGGACCCAGAGGGCTACGATGAGGCGTCCGTTGTGTGGGGGTTGAAGGCTGCACGAAAGATTGCGGAGCAGTCGCCATTTAAGGGGTGGATCAAGCGGGAGTTTGCGCCTGGCCCGGCTATTCAGAGCGACAAGGAACTTTCGGAGTATGGTCGAAAGGCGGGAAACACGGTTTTCCACCCGTGTGGCACGACCAAGATGGGAAACATTCAGACGGATCCGTTGGCAGTAGTTGATTCGGAGCTCAGGGTCAAGGGCATTCAGAAGCTCCGGATTGCAGATGCGGGAGTTTTCCCGCTTATTCCCACGATTAACCTCATGTTGACGGTTCTGGCTGTGGGGGAGAGAGCGGCGGAGATGATCGTGGCGGATACCATCATGCGGACTGGAGATGTTCCTCGTGATTCACGCTTGTAACTAGTTGGAGGGTAGAAGGGGTCGTTTTAGGTCATTCATTTGTGAAGGAAACGACGATATTACGAATTCCATCTCATTAACGTAACTCATCCCGCGGCAAAACTTCAAAAGAGTAACAGCTCGACAGCGGCAGTGGTGTTTTATTTGATGTCAGTTCGTGCCGGCTCGGTGACGTCCCTGTCGCAACACAATAGCAATCACAGGCCAAGCCAAGCGGCGGGCAGTGTTTTGATGGCATATTCCTTCAGTCCATTATCCCTGCTAGAAGTATTCAGTAAACATGCAATGCACATTGCCATTAGAAATGGAAGCACTTCGCCTACATTCTGAAATTGGAAACTCCGCGTCTAAGCCCCTTTGTATCTCAAGTTGCAGCTGTTTTTCACAACGGTTCGGCAGCGAAAAGGGCGAGTGTAACCCCCGCATATCTCGCGTGCTGTCCCAAACGGGCAACACCATCTTATGCCACTTGATTCAACTGGTGGTCTTGTGAGATGTGAACCCCTGCTTATCTGTTCTGTTCGACTGGTTGGCCGAGGAATCCAGATTAGGCTCGTTTGCGATAACCCGACATCGACACGAGCTCCCAGGATCCTGAACGTTGACCGAGCTGGACACCCAGTGGAGCTGGAAGCATATCGCATATCGCATATCGCATGTGATGATTGAGGCGGGTGACGTACGGATCGAGGCACTCATTGAATCTAGGGTACAAATATGCGTGCAGTTATCGAGGTATCATACGAGTTGAAGTTGAACTACCGCTTTTGTGCCCGATAACCTCTTTGCCATTTTCCTGCCACATATTTTGCGTGCTGTGACAAGATCCGTAAGGAGTCAACTCAAATTCAACATGGCAAAACAACAGTTTGATGCGCTTGTCATCGGAGCTGGCTTAGGCGGCATTCATAGCCTCTATCATTTGCGCGCCATTGGCCTTCTCAAGCTCAAGCTTATCGATCTTGCCAGCGATGTTGGCGGCACCTGGCATTTCAACACCTACCCTGGCACCATGTCGGATACAGAAAGCTATTTGTATCGCTTCCCATGGGATAAGAAAGACTTGATGACGTACCCTTGGCCGAACCACTACGTTACCCAGCCGGAGATCCTAGCGTACCTCCGTCACGTCGTCTTGAAGCATGACCTCCGCAAATATATGCAATTCAACACCGAAATGCGTTCTGCCACCTTCGACGAGACCAAGAATGTCTGGCTGGTGGAAGTCAGCACCGGCGAGAAGTTCGAAGCTCGCTACCTTGTTACCGCCTTGGGACTCTTATCCCGTCCAAATCTTCCCGACATCCCTGGAACCGATACATTTAAAGGCAGTATCGTGCATTCCCATGATTGGGATGCCGATGCAGAATACAGAAACAAACGTGTTGCAGTCATTGGGACTGGATCAACGGGAACTCAGATCGTAACCGCTGTTGCGCCCCACGCTGCATCCCTCACCGTATTCCAGCGCACGCCTCAGTATTCTGTGCCTGCGGGAAACAAGCCTGTGACACCCGAGTACCGCGAACGCATCAACCAGAATTACGACGACATCTGGGCGCAGACGCGAGAGTCTAGCACCGCTTTCGGATTCCAGGAGTCGATAGTACCTTGTTTGTCCGTGAGCCCCGAAGATCGCGAGAAGGTCTTTGAGAAGCTCTGGCAGCAAGGAAACGGCTTCCGATTCATGTTTGGCGGTTTCGGTGACATCACCACAAATGTTGAGGCAAACGAGGAAGCGTGTCGCTTCGTACGGAAGAAGATTGCGGAAATTGTCAAGGATCCCGTCAAGGCTCGGAAGCTGACGCCTACGAACCGGTACGCTCGACGGCCGCTTTGTGACTCTGGATATTACGAACAATTCAATCGTGAGAATGTGGACGTGGTCGATCTGAGAGAAACGGAGATTGTGGCTCTCACGCCAAAGGGTATTCTTACATCTGACGATGTCGAACATGAGGTGGATTTGATCGTCTTCGCGACCGGTTTCGATGCTATCGATGGTAGCTACACCAGGCTTCTTATACGTGGCCGTAACGGTCGGACCATGAAGGATCATTGGGTCGGTGGTGCTCACAGCTACATGAGCGTTTGCTGTTCTCACTTCCCGAACATGTTCATGATCAATGGCCCACAAGGACCATTCAGCAATATTCCATCCGCCGTAGAAGCGTCTGGTGAACTGATGCTTGGTGTGATCAAGCGTGCTGAGGAGCCTAGAAAGGCCAAAGGCAACGATGGCTCTGTGGCCATAGAGGTGAAAGAGGAGGCAGAAGATGAGTGGGGGTTCAAGTGTGAAGAAGTCTCAGAAGGGAGCTTGTTCAAAGAGACCAATTCTTGGATCTTCGGTGCGAACATTCCAGGAAAGCCTGTCGCATCTAGATTTTGGTTTGGCGGACTCAAATCATATCGGGAGCAAGTGGCAAAGTCCTTCAGCGACAATCTGTCAGATTTCAGGATCATTTGATTGATATAGAGCTAGCCTTTCAGTCGAATGAGACATCCTGCGTATCGCGAAATATCCTGCCTGCTGAGGTACTATCCTAAGGTGAACTTGTGAACACAATTCTTCTGCAACAGAAGTGCCAGCCATGACATCTTTATTCCGGCGGCGCGAAGTGTCCACAGCTCCTCCAGTAACTCGATGGCCCTCAAGTTAGCTGGTATGCGATTTAACGAGTAGATAGCCTTGAAACGTTGTTTTACTTCGTTTCGTAACTCCACCTTCTCCATGCCTAACTCGGACCCGGCTGTCATCAGCGGGATGGACTGGAGGTTCAGATAAGGATTAGTGATGGGCATTTGTCCCAGACTGTGCACGATGTCGGAGGCATAACGGGAAATGGTGTGCTCAATTTCGTCGGTGCAATCCGCCTCCTGGTCCACGTGGTTGCAAGCGCTGATGACTCGACGGTGGCAAATGCGGTAAAGCATTATGAGCGCGTGCTTTCTAAAAGCATCCGCCATACTATATAGCATCGCGCTGTCCTGCCTGGGGGTCCAACTGATCATTTGCTCTTCCAAGGTGGCCTCTAAAACGAGATCTCGATCTTGACCGTCGATAACGCCTCGACAGTAACGACCCAAGGTTCCTATCAGGTAAAACATCTCGATCGCATACCCGGCAATACAATGGTATGTGTCTCCGAGCGATTGGATTCCATTGAATATCTCCGGTGTATTCAAAGGTTGCTGCCCCTGAGGGTCCAAGAGGAACGAACATGCCATGTCCCAGTAGATGAAAGCGCCAAACACGAACTGGGATAGTTCGTCTTTCAAGCCGTCTGAAGCTAGCATTATCTCAATCATGGCACGACCGCCTGCTAAATGTTCCTTTCCCATACAGTTCTCGATCCATGGGGAAGAAATGCCGAGTGTGTAGACCGTCAGGAAGGCGGAAACTGGAGGTCTTTGAGAGCTATGAAGTTCTTGTTGGAAGAGACTAAGCGCGGCTTGTCGTTCCAGGAGACTCTCTTCCATACTCTGGGGCCGGTAGTAGTTCTCGTGAGCCGCGCTCAGGCTTTGGATGGCGTGCAGAAGAGATGGCGTCTCATTGAGATATTTCAAGATTGGAAGACCCATGGGATTCATGTCCGGGTCCAACACCATGATGTGGCAAGCCTGTTCGAACCAGTATTGAAGTTGCCTGGAGTGATTGTTACTGTAGATTGTTGACCTGTAATGGCTCGCAGTCATTTCGCCTGCCCTTGAACTGCTTGGTCTGACGAGCCAAGGGAGCTCCATAGTCCATGTCTTCTTCCTGGTCGGCATCAAACACACCGCGCCTCGGTTCTGACATCGCAGGCAGACAGGATAGGTCTCGTCACATTTGACATGTCGTCGTTTGCATTCTTGGCACCCGAATCGACTTTTCGGTTGCCCTTTCCCATTGCAGGTCTTCGCAACCCCTGAAGAGGAACGAGGTGGTTTCTGGTCCTGGCGGTCAAGGGAGAAATCCGAACGAATCTTCGGATGCGAAATTTGGGTAAATCTTATACGAGAGTAATTGACGCTCATCTCAGTCGATATGTGAGATGATTCGGGCGAGGATCATCCGTGAACGACTACAAGCGCGAGTTAAACCAAGTGAAATGTGACGGTTAGCGATACTCAAAATGGCGGGGTTTTCCCATCTTCAAGACCCCATACAACGTCAAGATCGCATCGACATCATTGTAGCGGACCAATCGAAGACGCAACTGGATGTCCATATCTGATAAACACCAAGATGACAGTCGCATGGGAGTGGATTCGATTGCATGGTATCCTGACCTAGTATCCTGCAGATAACGCACCTCGGCAAATGACCAAAAACGGCAAGATTGAGAGCCATCCTCCTCCCGGCTTATGACTTGTCAATATTGGACTGATATTATGGCTGCACACCCAAAACAAGGTTCATTTGCTGTATTAGAACGACATCAATTATGTAACTTTTGAATGCCCGTTGCAGTTCTTGGGGCGTTCTGTACAATTTCCACTCGGCTCCTGCGATGGTCTGCTTCCACTTGACCCTAGTCCTTCACAAACTATGCGAGCACACCTGACCGCCACCAACAATGCTTCGCAATCCTCAACTGAAATTCCGAGACTAGACCAGCAATATGACCTATGATACTAATAATGCTTGTAACTTTCAGAGCAATGCCTTGAGATGCATTTGGGAACCCTTCACCTTCTCCAGCTTCTCTTGCAATCGTCCCATCCTCTCGGAACTCATTACATATTCACCGGGAAACCAGTCCCGCACATCCTCGCCTGAGAACATCTTCACCACGGTTCGTCCACATAGCCATGCGTTGACCATGCCATATCCTCCGTAACCAGCACAAATCCACTCTGCTGAGTTTCTATCGCCCGCAGTACGGTCCAGAGCCGCCCGAGGAAGCATTCCTACTAGCGGTACGCCGTCCAGCGTATTAGCCATTATACCGGTCCACGAAGCACGCATCTTTGGCGGATCCCCCGTATTCTCCTGGCCAAACACAACACCAAGAACGCCTGCAAGATGGGCCTTCGCGGTGATGATCTCCTCTGCGTCCGAGCCTATACCAAGAGGTTGCATCAAGGCCTCTTCCCCTCCGACATCGCCGCCGCCCACGAATAACTCTCCAGATCGGGCATTTTGGGTGAGGTAATCGAAACCATGGGGAAAGTAAAAGCTCCAAGAATAGGCTCCGTCCTTCTGATGAAATTGGCTGCCGGGAGTCTGGACCGTCATCTCCCCTCTACGCGGAACAATGATACCACGAAGACCAGGTATCAAGTGACTAGCGTGGCCTTCGGTACAGTGAAAGATGTGCCGGGCGCGGACTACGCCACGAGGGGTGCTGATGGCGTACGGGTAATCCGCGTTCGCTTCGACTCTTCGGATATTCATGGCCGGAGTGTTGGATTCGATGGTCAGGCTGATGCTATGGCTCGTCAAGAGAGACGCCCAGATGCTCGTGATAAGCCGGTAAGGCCATGCAGCTCCAGCTCGGCCGACGAGAGCTCCTTTTGCCTTGGGGATTTTAAACGTCTACCGAGGATTTAGCAGTGCTGTTACTGGAATGAAAAATAGACAACAGAAATCTCACCTCTATGGCTTCCTTCTCTTCTGCGATTCTCCATCGCCCTTGAAGATCCGGAAATGCTGCTTCGAAATTGGCCAGCTTCTGCTTGAGATCTGCCAACTGCTCATCTTCGAACACAGCCGCGCAAGTTCCGACTTCCCTGACCTCAGACTTTTCGAAGTCCTCGAGGCCAAGCTCTTTTGCTGCTGCCAGAATTCCATCAAAGTGAGCGAGCTCAAATCGGACGATCTTCGCCGCGGCTTCCTTGCCGAACTTCTGGTAATACTTGTCATAGTCCAAGACTGCAACGCAGTTAATTCGTCCACCATTGCGACCCGTTGCGCCAGAACAAACCTCGCGGGCTTCGAGAACCGTCAAAGTCAGATCTCTGCAAGATTGAAGTAGTTCGCGCGCGACGCTACAGGCGGTGATGCCGGACCCGATGATAACGACATCTCGGTTTGTGGGGAGCGAGGTGGATTGTATGCCGCTGAGGCCGCTGTGAAGCGGCTGTTGCCAGTATGAAGCCGTGGGTTGACGCGCCGGGAGTCCGGGGTCTTGCAAGACACGATTCGACATCGCGCAGTGAATCTCTTCTGAACAGGTTACGAAGCGTCAAAAGCACTCGCGATCATGTCCAGAGCAGAAGTGACGGAAAACTACTGGATATGAGTAGATAAGAACCGATCGCCCCAAAGTGCGACCCCGCAGCCCGCTGATAAGACGGCTCCGTGGACCGGAGTGCACGGTTTGGCGCTGCTGTCATAAGCGAAGATCTAGATGCCTAAAACAGAATGCATGCGAGGTACACTGCTTGGAGAACATTTCATCACAGTCTTCGGGATACTATGTTCAAGTAAGCTGGTAACGAATGATGTGATTGTTCTTTGACATGGGCCCATAACAGCAGTTTGGGTTGAGTACATGTATGCACGGCCGCTAAAGTCCCCAATGGCCATGTTTTCCGTGCTCCGTCTCTAAACTCCAGTTGGGACATGGTTCGTCCTCATCGGTTCAGCGTGGATACGAGGTTGATGTTGATAACGAACCTGTGTGATAATGACAAGTGCGCATCACTGGAGCCACAGCTTTGAATACATGTACAAGACGTTGTACAAATGAATATACTAAGTAACATTGCTGTTGACCGACCTGACTATAGGAAGCTCGTCGCCACCTAAATAGCTACCAAAAATGATGTCCAGAAATGTTCATCTCTTTGCGTCGTACACAATTGGCGACAATGTCAGATGGTCTTCAAGTAGCAGGCGCGTGGTTATCGATGGAGTTCTGGGGGGTTACAAGGCCTTGTTTTGTTAGCGGTTTGTCAGGTGGGGGACCAGTATGAAAAGCTCACTTAGCAGTTGAAATCTCCGGGGTTCTTGCAACAGTCTCCGCTCTTAGCATAGCCAGCGCAGCATGTAGCTACTTTGATGTTACTGCACTTATCGATGTTGATAGGGGCGGGCGTAGCCAGTGCGAACATCGATGCGAACGAAGCCACCACGACGAAGGCAGAGAGGAGCTGCATATTGAGTTGATTTTTAGGGAGTTTGCTTAGATGAAAATGAGACTTGCATAGTGAAAAGTAGATTCGAAGGGCAGATTCTGAAGAGCAGCATGGTCAGTTATTTATGCAGTTGGCACTGGTGCAAAGACGACTTTTCTTGCCAAACAAGGGTCAGCCCAAGCAGCATATGAGGATCTGAGCGATGCTTGCGTAGCCAGTAAATCAGCGAGACAAACTAACCGATAGTGTGGACTACGGCGCGTTTGCGGCTTATGTGCTACGCCCACTGAAATAGAGGGCTCATCCCTCCACAGTCAAGGTTCCCGGAAGCTTCAATCACCCGATTTATCTACATCCAGAAAGAAGTAAAAGAAGAAGACGGAAAAGACTTCCAAAACTGCCGTCAGATTTCCGTGAAAGATATGGTCACGTCTACTAGATTATCTCCTGCGGGCGCGCAAATGCTGGCTTCAGAAGTCGCATTGGAGTCAACACAACTGACCGAGTGAGCTTCAGCGTAGTGCGGCAGTTATCCCCTTAACATCTGTGGCACTACCACCGATGCGACCAATCAGTCATGTCATCTAGAAATGAATCACGGATAATAATAGTTCGGACATCGCGCAGCTATGGGAGTTCTGATCATGAAATATACAAACAAATAACTGATCGCATCTGGCTGAAGCCGGCAGTGCTCTGCTCAAGAGAACTTTTTACCTCAAATAAGCCGACTAAGCTTTTCAAAGAGGCCGTTTTGAATTTGTTCTCGGAAATCCAAGACGAGCTAAGTGGGTATTGCCTTTAGCCGCAGGCTTATTATATTATCCATGAGAGTAAGGTAAAAGCCCCTGAGCTGGTATTGTAGGTACTAAAAGCCATGAGATGCTCCCTGCCCGACCGCTGACTCGCTGAACTCGCGCCTGTAAGGCATGATATATGGCGGTCGGCTTGAGCGAAAAGGTATCTAATATAGCGCAGTCACTTTGGCCTAGCACCGCCATACCCACACAGTACTTGCTGTCTTGCGTCTCATACTTAAACTCCCACATTGCTGCTGCATCAAAGAATGTGAATGGTTTCCCTGCACTAAACCCCGACATATATTCTCTGTGAGTTCACGCTAGACCAGAAACTCGAATGCCCACGCAGTTTTCCAATCTTCTTCCGTCTGGTAAATCGCAATGGTGATCTCGTCGTTCGTGTAAGAGTGGGTGGCAATGCCGCGGTCCGTAGGAGCATCCAACTCGGCTTCGGGGATCTCGTAGGTGAACCCCCAGGTCTGGATCTTCAGTTCCCCGGCCGGGGCCAGGCCCACAGCACTGAGGTTCTTGAAAGTCAGGGCCCAAGTGCCCGTCTTGACCCGCACCCCAGCAAGGGCACGTACTTTGTCATTCCCGACAGTGGCGTAAACATCAAATATTCGGTCTTCAGAACCGGTTGTACCGGCTCGATAACCGTTCATATTAAGGTTGTAGTATTTCAGTGCCTGCCAGTCACCGTTTGGGTGGTACGGGAGGTTCTCGTTGTCGCGCCATATGAGACTGGCTAGGAAATCACGGAGATGAGAACCATCTGGACCTCCACGCCAATTGGAGCGCAGACCCGAAGTATCGTATCTTTCGAATCGAGACAGATGCCACACTGTTGCCGCTGGGTTGAGTTCATCGGCAAGGTTGAGGTACTCGTTGATGTTGATGGGTTTCTCTGGAGCACCGGCGGCAGATCGCATGTTGCTGAAAGTGACCAAGCTGTTCTGAAGGTCATTGGCGGGGTTATCAAGTGCCTCAATGTGGTGCCAGGTATATAAGTCCGGCGCGGAGTTGTTCGCAGCGACATAAGATAGGAAGTTAGACCACCATGTGTTCTCTTCTGTGGGTGGCAGTGAAAGAGAGGGACCAATCATTTGGACTCCTCCAAGACTGGCATCCGACCTTTCCGTGTGAGCTATTAATCAATGACTTGAAAAATCTGTGCTAACATACCGAAATCTGTTTGTAGTCCGACCGAACAAGTCAAGCCACTGCGCTTGAGGTCTCTTCCAGAAGCCCCATTCAGGCTCATTCCAGATGTCGATGTACAATCCCGGCAGCATATCGTTCGCCACGATCCTGCTGATGATAGTGTCCAGAAAGCGGTCATAGTTGGCCCAGTCACCATTGTCACCGGGCCATTCCATAGACTCGTCAGTAAAGTCAGTGCCCCAGAGGTCATGAAGCAGAAGCTGAAACTTTCCGTTGTACTTGCGGACAGTTTCGTAGTTGCTGAGCGTCGATTCCCATCTCTTTTCCATCTCGGCATCGCCCCAGGACCAGCCACGGTTGGGCTCAGTCATTTGACCACCACCAGCGCGGAACCAGTGAAGGCCAATGTCAGTATAAAAATGGTCAGGAATTTGATTTGGGACATCGGGTATTCCATAGATAATTCCGCTTGCGAGATGCTGCGGTGAGCCCCTGTTAATGGCAAGGTCAACGGTGGCAACTGCATCTGGTGACCATCGTCGTTCAACGGCTGCACAGTTGACGAGGCCCACCAGTGTAACCACCAGAGAGAAAAGTCTAGACATGGCATTGAATTCCAAGAAGAGATGCTGGTAAACGTAAGCGGATCGTTTGGCAGGCCACTTGTTGTGGCAATGCTAGTCTCGAAAATGTTGCGGTTGCGTGCAGCATTAATATGCTAATATAGTCATGGCCTGGCCCAGACATCATGAGAAAGACAGATTTTCAAAAGGTCGGCTGACTCTCGATAGCCTCCCGGGCCGTAGTCAAACGCACCAATACCAATGTGGCGGTTGTTGCATTCAATGACAACGGCCGGCCGCCCACCCCCACCGGAGCAATGTCGATCAGCCGTCCGGGGTAACCGGCCCCCGGAAGAGCAATGTCGGATCGGGTCCCGGTGATGACGCCACAATTATCAGCGAAAAGGCTTGCAACCTTCTTGATCATTCCAACACCGATCGACGAGTTTCTGATGAAGCCTGCGTATGCCGAGAAATTCTCCGCCGGATAGGGCCTGCGAGATCGCGTGTACTATGCGTTATTGATAGCATCTCCACCGGACCTATTTTTCACGTCGACTACTACTACCGTAGCAGTCTCCGTAACATCCCCGATATTGTCAATTTTACCTCCAGCTACAGGAATCACGAGAGTATTTGACTAGGCAACAGACAAATCCAAACTTTCATTCACGTATAAATCATGAAGTCGATACCCTGAATGTGGAGGTCCGTATCGAATGGCACAAGCGCTATTTTCCTTCATAGTCTCACAATGTGGCTGCACTTGCTTCTCGGTCTCTTTTGCTCTCGGGTCTTTGCTCAGACAAATTAAACCAATCCCATTATCTGGCAGGATCCCCCAGATATTGACCTCATTCGGATTGGCGATGCTTATTACTACTCGGCCTCAACCTTTCAGTACTCTCCCGGAGCAGTTATTCTTCGGTCATACGATCTAGTGAATTGGGAATATCTGTCTCACTCGGTTCCAAGCCTCGACTTCCAAGCTACCGAGGCCTTCAATCTGGAATCCGGCTCACGTTACAACCAAGGCATCTTTGCATCATTCTTCAACTATCGAAAGAGCACAGACACTTTCTACTGGGGTGGCTGTATTGTGGGTGACGGCAATACCTACGTCTACACAGCTCCTACAGTTGAAGGACCATGGACTCAGAGTTCTATCATCAACCAGTGTATATACGATGCTGGTATGCTGATCGATGATGACGACAAGATGTATGTGGCTCACGGTCATACGAATATCTCTGTGGCCCAACTGAGTGACGATGGTCTTCAAGTCGTCCGGGATGAAGTTGTCTTCGAATCAACCGAGGAACTGGGATACATCGAAGGAGCTCGGTTCTACAAGCGGAACGGAGCTTGGTACCTATGGATCGTCAAACCCGTCCCGAGCCAGATCGTTCTGAAGTCGACAGTTGGACCGTTTGGGCCTTACGAGTGGCGATGGGTTCTCCAAAGCAACGGAAATCCCGTTCCTGGCGCCGGGAACCCCCACCAAGGCGCCATTGTGAGCACGCCTGACGATGCTTGGCACTACATCGCCCATCTTGAAGCATACCCCGGTGGGCGTATTCCAGTTCTTGCTCCCATCTACTGGGATGAGGAGGGCTGACCCCATGTTGAGTTCGTTGACAATCAATGGGCGACCACCTATCCGCTTCCATTGCCTGAGCGTCCAGTCAAGCCCATCACTGGCACCGACAACTTCGAGACATTAGGACCCCAGTACGAATGAAATCACAACCCGGACAACACGGCATGGGACCTCAACAACGGGCTCGAGCTTCGCACCGCTACCGTCACAGACGACTTCTTCCGCGCTCGGAACACTCTCACTCATCGTGTCCTGGGACCCGTCTCAACAGCCACCATTGAACTCGACTACTCTCAGATGGCCGACGGCGACAGGGCAGGCCTTGTACTTTTCCGCTACGCAGCCGCGTGGATCGGGGTTGTCAAAGATGGTGACAGAACGAAGGTTGCGATGGTAAACAATATCATGATGGTTCCTGATGACGGTTGGCATACGGTCAACAAAGGAGAGGAGATTGAGGCTGCTGAAATTAGCGGTGGGTCGGTGTGGCTTCGCCTCGAAGTTGGTGTCAACTCGCTCTACAACGAAGAAGGCCGGTTCTCGTATAGCACCGACGGTGTCACCTTTCAATCATTGGGAGAGCCTCACCAGCAAGTCAATAACGGCATTCTTCACTTTTTGGGGTATCGCTACGGAGTTTTCAACTACGCTACACTCGCTCGGGGTGGAGCTGTCACGGTCAAGTCCTTCGGTATTCATGAGTAACACACGGCGGAATCCTCTTTTCCGGTGGAGCATTTCATGATGCATAACTCTGCACCCTAGGTTTCTTTGCCACTTGACTGTTCAGTTGCTCTATTTTTTTTCTTCTACAGTTGGGTAGTCGTTTTGGTAAATCCTTCCACTATGTTACAAACCTATACTTACTTGCCCTTACGATAACTTAAGAGAAGTTTGTAACCACCATTCGTGCTTCTTTACCTCAGTTAACGTGCATGTCAAAAGACGTCCAGAATGAATGAACGACGCAATGACCCAATGACGGGGAAAGTATGCCACTGACCTAAGGCAGAAGCCACATAATCACAGTTGAGGGGCTTCCTCACAGTGTAGTTGCCCTTTCCATAAATATGCTATGTCACTTACAGCACTCAATTTTCCTCATTGCATATCACACGACCGATTGGAGAATGTAAATTTCATAAGTAGGAATCAAATGACAATCATGATGTAGACACGAGAGCTCGAATCAGCATGCTGGGCGTATCGCCTTTAGCGTTCGGGTTCTGTCCAAAATAGGAAATTTCTCACTCAAGGTCGACGCCATTGCTTGTCCGCCGACACTCCCCGATGTTCACGCGACCCACCGGATATAAGAACGTTTTTCAAAAACAGTTCACTGGACCTCCATTAGAGATGCTGTCTGTACCTCTTGCAGGTCTGGATCTTTCTCCTTCGAACTATTTGATCGTCAGCACAAACCCTTTTCGCCGAGATTCAGTTGACGACGAATTTCAGGAAATCGCCGCTCATGAAGCATTGCAAACCCTCAATACGTCCGCAGGCATGGCTATTCAGAGTCCAGAGTGTTACGTTCTGGCACAGACGAAATTCTGTCCAAATAATGAACTGCCCTACCTAGTTTACCGAAATGTTCTACCGCCTGATGTTACTGAACAAATCGCTTCGGAGCTTTTGACCAAGCATGGAGGATGGGAACGATTTGTAAGGTCTTCCGAGTCCAAGGAATGGTGGATTAGGGACTAACACATTGTAATCTCTAGGGCCCGGTCTGGGGTCCTGTGTCGAAAAGACATTTTCATCCCAACGTACACGAGTGCTATGGTGAGTAGCATCTACCGTTGGTCCAGTCACTTACTGGCGCTCAAATGTGCCATTGAATACAAGTGCTAACAATAATTCGCCAGCAATTCTGAGTGGCACATCAACATTTCTGTTGGGGCTTGCCATGGGCGACAGCGAAGCAGACGTCGAAGCCGCTCCTGAGGCTGCTGTTTGCAATGGGGTTGACCTCAGGTCAACTAGAGGTTTACGCCTTCGGGTTTCTGCTGGTGATGTCGTGGTACAGCCTGCAGGAACAGGCCACTCATCTCTGGATCATGATGGGAACTTCCGTTACATCTCGCTTTTTGTTTCGGTAATATGATGTCCGATCCTACACGTCAATTGCTTAGCTAACTGGATTGAAGGGAGCCCCACACTGGCGAAGTTCGATAGGAAGCACTCCAGTTGATAAGGAAACCCAACAGGGAATCAGCCAGATTCCGCTACCTGAGTTTGATCCTATAGAGGCACAGGCGCAAACAAGTGGTAATAATATAATGTGTGTGAATCTAGCTAAGTAGGCCGTCTGCCAGGCCAGAGGCTGGAAGAAGGGCCTAGAGGGCCCCTAGGCTACACAAGCCACCTATAGCACCTATAAGTAGGTGCTACTACACTACTCCTCAAGCTCTAAAGCCTAGCAGTAACTATTAATATATATAAAGTAAGCAAAAGCTAGAAATCTTATTAAAAGCTAAAAAGCTTAAAACTAAGGAGTTTTTAAGTTTATATTAACTTAGTTAATCTCTAATTAAACTACTAAATAATCCCTATCTTCTAATTAGCTTAAAGCCTTAGATTAAACTAATCCTAAAGCTAGCTAATATTAATCTATATTATCCTCTAATCTATCTATTAATTTAAGTATTCTAATAAAGTTATAATATTTCTATATCTTAAGAGACTTTATAAAACTATTAGTAACTATCTTAAAGTTATTAATAAAGCAAAATATAAAGGTTTTATTTATAAATACCTCCTTAATAATCTATTTATATTAAATATTAATATAGTAAATATAAGCTTAGTTTAGTAGATTTATAATATAAGAGTATATATTAGTACTATCTATAAAGAGAAGAATAAAAATATTTATCTTAGCGTTAAATATCTACTTAATAGATCTCTTAATTTATTTAAAAATAAGGTTAATAAGTATTAAGTTTATAAACTTTACCTTAGTTATACTAAGAGTAATAAATATTTATTTCTTAGTCTTCTAAGTAATAAGAGTACTACTAAAGAAGATAATATATCCTCTAGTTAAGATATAAAATAGCTAGTTATTAGTAAAAGAAGTATCTATTATACTATAGAGAGCTAGAGTTTAATTTAGATTAGTTCTACTAATAATAATACTATAATAAATAATTCCTTAGAAGTAGTAGAAGAGATACTTAGTAAAGTATAAATATATCTAAAATAAGCCTCTATTAGCTTAATAAAGCTTACTAATATAATAAGTAATATTAATATAAATACCTTAAGTAAGCTAGTTAATATAGCTAATCTTCTTAATATACTTTTTAGCTTCTTTAATAGTATATTTATTTTTATCCTATTAAATAGAAAGCTCTTTATAAGAGGGAAAAAAAGTCTTTATAAGCTGCAGATCCTAATAGCTAAATTAATAGAGGATAACTTTAGTATACTTATATTAAGAGAGAAAGATCTTCCTAATTAAGATGCTATATTTAATCTAAAAGCTAAGGAACTATATAGCTTCACTAAGCTTTTTAAAAGTATATACTTTCTTAAGATTATTATAAATACTCTTAATATACTACTTATTAAGCGTAGTAATAGCGTTATTATTAATATATATTAAAATATAAGTATATTAATCCTTATTTATAAATAAATAGAGCTTGCTATTAATAAGAATAAAGCTAATCTTATTTATCTCAGTATAGATAAGATTAAACTACTAAAGAGGAGCTTTATATAAACTATAAAATACCTTCTTAAGAAGCTAAACCCTACTATTATTAATACTAAAACTAATAGGTTAATAAATATAAATCTTAATATTATTAAGAACTAATACTATAAAAAAAGTAAAGTTAAAGTTATATATCTAATATTTAAGTCCTTAAAGAGCAGTAATAATAAGGAATAGTTAAAGAGCTATAGCTATAGTAACTACTATATAAACTTCCTAAGAAGCCTAATCTCTACGCTTAAAGTTACTATATATAACCTAATAAGCCTTAAACTAAGTAATAATATTATTAATAATAGTTTTAATATTAAAAACCTATTAGCTAAAAAGGACCTTAGCATTATAAAGAGGGTAGATAAATTCATAAACCTCTTTTATAACAAACTACTAGATTTCTTATTTATAAGCTTCCTTCTACTATAGCTAATAAAGGTTATCCTTAGCTTACTTATAAGTCTTTAGAATACTATAGCCCTATAGAAGCGCTCTAAAGATAGCAGTAGCTATAAAAATATTAAGAGAGTACTCTAGTATATTATCATATACTTAAATATTAATAGTAATATATACCTTTTTATTATAGCTATAGATACTAAAGAGCTACTTATAGTAACTAAGAAGCTTAAGGTTACCTTAATAAGGTTTAAAAGAAGTAGTCTTATTATCTTAAGAAGTCTTAATACTTTCTTCTCTATAAATTTACTATCTATAAGTAAGATTAATATTATCTAGTTCTTAATTAATAATACTATAAAAAGACTTATTAAAATTACTATTACTATTATAATATTTATTAGCCTTCTTATTATAGTTTATAGTAACTATATCATCCTCTAGAAGGGATTATAAAGTTAAGTAAAGCATAATTTTATCTAGAAGTAATATTATTAGGTTTAATCCTTTTATAGCTATATTAAAAGCGTTATTACTAGCACTTAAAGATATTAGTATTATAGTAAAGATCTCTAGAGACTTCTTAAGAAAGTTAGAAATACTTATAGTTATACTACGCTAAATCTAGAGATCTAGCTTATTAAATAGCATATTATGCTCTATATTATTAGTAATTAGTATATTATATATAAGTTAAAGAACTATATTTATTAGACCTTTATAAAAGTAAATATTATAGTAATAGATAACCTTCTTCTTCTCTAAGATATAAACATAATAGATATAGCTATAGAGAGATATATATCTAATAAAATATCCTTTTATAGTATAAGCTTCTATCTTTCTAGAACGAGGAGGGTAGTTAACACTTTTCTTATAGATATAAGTAGTATAGCTAAAAATATAAAGATATTTAATATAAAGTAGTTTATAATTAGTAATAAGGTTAAGTTTATATACTATAATCTCATAAAAGCTTATTTTACCCTTAATATCCTAAAGAAGAAAGTTAAATATCTAAATAATTAAATTAAATAAGTAATCCTAAAGCTCTTCAGATAAGTTAGTATTAATTAACTATATATAAGCTACTTTAATAATAGTTCTTCTAATACGCTTAATAAAGCTATTCATAAAAGGTATATTAGTAATAATATAGTTAATATAAGTATTAGCAAAGTATAAATCATAAAGAACCTTCTTAAACTCTAAAGCATTATTATAAACCTAAGTCTTAATATTAAGGCTAGTTATATTATTAAACATATTATAGAAGTTCTTAATAATATTATATATAACTTCATAATAATAATTAAGTATAAGAACAAACCAGTAATATCTATTATACTTATTAAGAAAATATAAAGTATAACGCTTATTAGTTATTAATAAAAGCTTAACTTTAATAAGATTAAGATATATCTCTTCTCTAATCTAAGTGAGAAGTAAAAGAGAATTACAGCTAATAATCTCTATTAATTTAGCTAGATAGCATACCTCATAGTAAAAGTTCTCTATCTCTTCCTTAGTGAACATAATACCTATATAATAGCAGGCCTTAATAACTCTAAATAGATAAGTATAAATT